TGATCTTTGCAATGCTTAAGAAAGGAACAAAAGTCATTGGCAACTTTACCCGCCTCTTCTAAGGTATACGTAGCAAGTTATATTTTTGGATTTTAAATCTTGAATTCCAAAAGGTACGGTGAGCTGGCGAAAATAATATGAATCCTGGAATTTTGGGTAAGCAAACATTTACTATATAATCAATGCAAAATCCAATTTTTTTTAAACTAATTTTCCATTGCATGAAATTTCTTGCGGCTGCTACCCTCCTGGCATTTTCATTCAGAGTTTCACCTTTAATTTTTGCATTGAGCTCCTCACAAATACTACACGTATCCTTGGCCGACCTGCCAAATTTTAAATCATAGTTTTCTTTAAAATAAAGGTTTATAAGAAATTTTATTATCCAGATGTTTTTGTTGAAACATTTACAAAAATTTACAACAAAAAATTTACAACGCAGAAAACGAATTTTGTGTAGTGCGATGCTTTTACAAGGTAAGACTCAATGTGGTTACGAGTACTAAGAATGACACGTGCTTGTATTGCATTTATTGTTTTTTTGTCTCTAGAACTGTTATGATTTTTTTAAGAGAGATACACTACGTTCGCAACATTTCTTAGATATACCGTAAATGGACAACAAGGCCGTAAACGGCATTTGACTAACGAGTTTTTAATCAAGGGGCAAAAAGTTTACCGAACGTGTTGCACACTATACTTCTTCTACGACCGTTAGTTTTTGGGTACATTTTCGCAAAATAACACCAATGCATTCACTGACATGACCGTCAGAATTGACAAACGTCAAAATTCGAAGCTTGCGGTAAAATCGCGGAAATGTCCGAAGTGACTCTCATTCTTTTGAAACTAAACTGACATGGTAAAGTGACGCTTCCCGCACGCTAGATCAGTGTGTAATTAGATATTTTACACACGGGAGTAGAAACACGAATTTCTCGACTCGTGTAGTGCGATGCTTTTACAGGGTAGGGCTCAATGTGTTTACTTACTTACTTAGTACTAAGAATGTGCTTTTATTTCATGTTTTTGTCACGCATATCTCTCGAAATTTTGGGACTTTTTCAAGAGAGATACACTACCTTCGCAACGTTTCTTAGATATACCGTAAACGGACAAAAAGGCCCTTTTGCATGACTGCATACTACTGTTTCTGTGTGTATTTCTACCAACCAATACAAGTGCAAATCTTGTTGGTACTTAGTTTCAAAATTAAAAAATGATTGACGTATGCCCTGTTTTTCATCTGCACTCAAACCACTTAAATATTTCTTGTAGCAATTAATAGGATAACAATAAATTTACCACTGACGACCACAAAATAAAAATATTTGTAAGTTACCACTCAATCACCAGCAACCATTTTTGCATCTGTCGACCTTTTTTCTTTTTTTTTTTTGTTGGTACTTCGCTTTCTGAACTCGAACTCTTTTTAACCTCTTTACTATAAAGCAATAGAAATGAGACTAAACCAAGCACGTGTTGTTTTACAATTACAATTACAAATTAAAATGTAGTATTATAACAACTCTACATTTTGACCTACGAAGTGGCCGAATGTAATGTGATTAGGCGACTCAATTAAATTTCAAAGTCATCTACCGGACATGTCTCCTTTTTGCAGTAAGCGGAAATAGCAAACGCGGTCGAGCAATGTGTCTCGTTTCTGCAGCAAACGATGTGTTTACCCTTTTACAATCGAAAAATATGTAAAAAAAAGAAAATGTCCTGTTTCTGCAGATCCTAGCGTTTCGGAATCCTTTTGGGAATTTGTTTGAATTTGTTTCCACCAATTATTAGTAAATCTCCTCCTATATTTTGTCCTCTTTTTTAATAATACCATTTTTTTGTAGTGATGGTTGCTAGTTCGCGGTTTATGATTTGACGAAAAACATAATTTTCTTTTTAATCTTTTTTCTTTAAATCTGTTATTGTTTAATTGTGTTTAATTATTCCTTTCAAAATTGTAATACCCGAAGGGTCATACTACTCCATTTCGAAAAAATATTGTGAAAAAGCGCTCAAGTGCACACATGTTTAAGCCTTATTGACGAAATAACACTTAAAATCGCCGACCCAGATGAAGATTTTATAAATTTTAAAAGTAAGCTGATAAAAATATGTTATTTAATTTAGTGATTTATTAATTTAGAACAAACATTAACACCGCAAAATAAGAAAACCATTGGAAACAGTCGTAGAAGATTAAACAATATTAGGGAGTAGAAAAAATATAATATATAATATTTCTTCATCTTAGGATTAGACACGAAGATAATACAGAAAAAGTATGATCTTCCACGTTAGCTCGACCTGTAACCGACGTGTAAATTTCCACTAGCATGTTCCATCTACGACCCCCTAAATAGCGCCGCCTGCGATAAACAAACCATTCCCACTAACAATCGATGGTTTTTTAACTTTAAGAAAGTTGACAATTCCTAGTTTTTCTAACTCCGTTTGGAAATTTTCCAGGTTTTCTTATAATTACTAAGGTTGCAGAAATTAACTGTCAAATAAATCATGACTTCAATGTATTTAGATCTTTTTTCTAATCCATAATCTTAAATATCCACTTATATACTTCATCAGGTAGATGCTAATGGGTCACTTTAAGACGCGAACGTTTTTATTGTCACGTGTTTTGTTGGCTGGCTTTATCAAACTTGTTGTATAATAACACTCGTTCTGTACAAAACATTTTTATAATCAAATGCATCTTTTAGTATACACAGAAAGAATGTGTTAAGATGTGAATCATCTTTTTGCACCCTTGATTTATTTACGCCAATTATTATTAAATCTCCTCCATCACAGTCTATTTTCTTATAACACATGAAAAATAAATTATAAAGTTTTCTTGTTGTTTCCGAATTTCTTCTTCGAGCATTTCAGTTATTGCGTGGATTCAATAGTATCATGTTTCCTAGATTTTCCGACATAAGTGATGGTTGCTGATCACTAATTAACCGTTGCTGATTTGAAGAAAAACTTAATTTTTTACTCATTCGTAATGCTGTTACAGGTGTTTTATTTATTGTTTAATAGCGTATAATTATTCCTTACACCTTGAGTTGACTTGACTTGAATGTATTCCACAATAGTTTAAGTCTGATAAATTCTAAAATGTAGATTTCGATTATGACGAAAAAATTCTAATACCTAAGCGCCATTTAGTAACAACTGCGTACAATAGAAATTTAGTTTATATTTTGTTTACGTTTTACCGTACTACTCCGGTTGAAAGGAATTTTGTCGAAAAGCCCTCAAATGCCATATGTGTTCCAGAAGACCGGCGCTTAATTGAAGAAGTAACACTTAAAATCACCGACCCAGATAAAGATTTTATCAATTTTAAAAGTGAGCTGATAACAATACGTTTACAGTAATAAATAATCTAAAAATAAAAATGTGTTATTGTTAATTTACCTTATAATAATTTCGAACAAACATTTACAATAATTATAATATTTTTCGTGAAAAATCAACCAGTTTTAATACGAGCGTTATATTCCTTAACGTTATAGCTTGTAAATTAAAAAAATTTAAAGCCCATGGATACCCATAATATGAATCCTACATTGTGTTGTGTTCTTGGTACGATAGATTCAATGTGAGACTCAAAAGCCACTTCGAAGTCTAAGATAATGCCCTTACCGTGCTCACATCTTTTATGGGAACACTATTAATAGGCAAAATTTTTACATTTCAAATTCCTCGCCAGTCTTTTGATGATCTTATATTATTATTATTTAATTATAGCATATACTAAATAGGTGGGGACCCGAACGGGAGTATTTTCGAATTCCTGAGATGACGTCAGTCAGATTTGGTTTGAACCGGTTAATGTTTTCTGCTTCTTCCTTTAATATGTAAATGCAAGGAAGCATGCAGGATCCCATTAAAATCGAAGTTCTCTATTTTTATAGCACCATCTTACACTAGCATTGTAGAGATCGAGGTAAACTATGTATATCTCAACGCTTTGCTTTGCTATTCCTCCTCCTCCTCCTCCTATGTGCTCTAGCAAGGTTGGCGACCAATATGGTAAAGTCGTCCCTATTGTGGGCTTCATGAAGTAGTGGCACCATTATTCATAGGCAAAATTTTTACATTTCGAATTTCTCGCCAGTCTTTTGATGATCTTATATTATTATTATTTAATTATAGCGTACACCAAATAGGTGGGGACCCGAACGGAAGCATTTTCGAATTCCTAAGATGACGTCACTCAGGTTTGGTTTGAACAATTTTTTCGGTTTATTATTTTAATATGTAAATCTGCCAAAGAAGCATACAGGATCCCATGAAAATCAAAGTTCTATATTTTTATAGCACCATCTTACACAAGCATTGGAGAAATCGAGGTAGACAACGTACATCTTTACTTTCCTTTTCGTCCTCCTTCTCCTATGTACTCTCGCAAGGTTGGCGATCAATATGATAAAGTCTTCCCTATTGTAGGCTCGATGAAGTAGTGTGTTACTACTGGTGTGTGTCCAGTCTCTGATCCTTTTCTGATGTGAGATTAAATAATCGTTCGCATATGGTGGCTTTAGTACGAGCATTGTTAAAACTTTAGTTGTGTGAGTGACTTTTGTAATAACATTGACAGGATTTCTGAAACTTTGAAGGGGAGTATCATAATTTGCTCTTTTTACATTACATCGTAAGATTATTTTGATGTTTTGCATCATTTTTCAGGTCATTATCGACAACTTGTACTTCTCGCCGATGATCTGATTTTAAATATTTGACGTCTTCACAATAAAATATTAATTTTATCAAATAAACAATAATTTCATTTAGCGGTTCACTTCAAACCCTTGCTGTTTTCTTCTTTTGTTTTAAGTACTTGGTAAACAAACACTCTGAAAAAATTGAGTATAAAAAGGCGGTGAAAAATCAGTTGAGGACAGTGAAGTTCCAAATAACCAAAACTATTATGGCGTTCAAGTTACTAGCTCTAACGATTTGTTTCGCAATTTTACGCGCTGAAAGTTCGCCAACACCAGACGCATCGTGTACCATCAACTCTGTTGTATCGAGCTGTACGTCGATTACTGTGGGTTCTTTTACTGTACCAGCTGGTACGACAGTTATCATGAATTTGAAGCAAGGTTCCACGGTATCATTTACTGGCACGGTTGATTTCGCTTATAAAGAATGGTCGGGCTATCTCCTTGAGATCATTGGAAACTCAGTCACTGTCGAGGGCACAGGAAGTAAGTTATTAAATTAGTAGTATAAATGTATATTGTGATGCAAAACAGCACCAATTTTTGTTTTACTTTCTGAGATTTGCAAGTAAACCTTAACAAATCTTTCTAGGTCACTTGTTCCACGGACATGGTGAGCAGTACTGGGACGGTAAGGGTGGAGCGGGCACCAAGAAACCAGTATTCATGTACCTAAAGGGTACCGGATCAACTTTCAAGAATTTCAAAATCAAGAACTGCCCGTTGAGATGCGTTGCTATCGATGGATCGAACAACATAGTTGTGAGCGGCTTTATCATCGACAATGCCGAGGGCGCTCCGGTGAGTTTGATTCAATTTTTACATTGATTTTAATTTTCTCTTAACTTCCACCGAAGAAGCCAAATCTTAGCTGTAGTTTGGCGTATCTGAATAATTTAAACATGCTGTGCTATATAGAAAACGTAATCTCAAATTTTAAAATAGCAAAGAACTAGTGATATTCAATATATATTCAATTGGTATTCCGATTGATAATTAAACTTATAATTCGTAATCATTGTTAAAGGGTACCGCAAAAAGTGGAAAGGAAGGTCACAACACCGACGGATTTGACATCGCCAAATCGACGTACGTTACTGTCAAAGACGCCACTGTAACGAACCAGGACGATTGCGTAGCTATCAATAACGCGCACATGTTACCATTGACAATTTCCACTGCATAGGAAGTCACGGGTTCGACATAGCAGCTGGACTGTCATCCGATTACAATCAAAATATCGTTCAGGACGTTACTTTCTCCAATTCCATTTTAGACAGAGGAATGTACGGATTACACATTTTAGCAGTCAATGATGGAGGCCAAGGCAAAATAGATGACATTAAATACAACAATATTAAAATAAACGGTAAGATTGATTATAATTCTACCTAATTGACATTCCAGAAAATTCTATCAACGCTTTTCAATGTCTCGAACATGCATTGTTTTTGCGAACTTTAAGATTTGATGACTCTTTTTACGTTGCTGACTCCTTCAACATTAATTTTGTTACATAACATACTGTTCTAATTACATTTTGCTTATTCTTGATCCAGGGCCGTCCGATTACGGTGTGATGATCCAACAAGATTTCTCCAACGCAAAGCAGGGATCTACTGGAAATCCCACAGGAAATGTGCCGATCAGCAATGTCGATATTAAAGGCGTCACCGGAACAATGAACGGACAATACTCGTCGGCTGTAACCATCAGGTGTGCGGCGTGTTCGAACATTGTTTTTGAATCAGGTTTTTCGATTACCGGTGCCAAAGCCAAGGACGAATGCAAGAACTTCCAACCTACTGGTTATACGTGTAAAACATAATATTGAGCAATATTGAATACACCTTTTTTAATATATTAACTCTTGTTTTTACACCTTACCAGTGCGGAACTTAAAATGATACATTTTAAGACCTCGCCGTCCTTCAATTATCTTTCAGCTAACCGAAAATCAAGATACTATGCCTCATATAACTTTCTGCGTAGAATTCAATGCCTTATTCGGAATAAGGGTACGGGGTCAGGTCCTGAAGTTACGGAACATTACATTATTTTTTTTAATGAAGAACTCTACATTTTTGCTTGTTTTCAATCACATTGTTTTAACCTCTTTGAAATTAATTTGTTTAAAATATATTTTTTTAACAATAAGCGACGATTCATCAAAAGAACCGCTAGAACTGTTTTCCATTTTCATTCATTACTTGTATTCGGACAACTTCTTGACGAGTGGCGTTATATAGATCTTCAAGCGTAATTAGGTCGAGCCCGAAAATTTCTTTCACTCTACACCAAAAAAATTAGTCCAATATGAATAAATCAGGTTGTCCAGGAGACCAAGTCTGTGCTGGTAATAGATTTCATTAAAATGCACAAAAGGAACATCGTCTAAAAATTGTAGCAATATGTCTTGCAGTATATCAAGATAACGATTCCTTTAAACTTGCATTAAACCCGAATCTCCCTTGATGCCCTCGGTGGTCTATCAAATGATGTCGATTTTCACAAAATCGAGTATTACGCCTAATAAATACTTCCGCACTAATTATATATGATGTACGAGGTGTTTAAAAAATACGCTTCAATATTTAGAGGTGATTCATAAGATCATTTTATAAAAAAAATTCCCGTAGGATTTCTGGATTTCTATTGGCAACAAGAAATGAAATGTAATTTATACACTATAGCGAACCAGCACGTTTTAGTCAAATTGCTCGTGAGTGCTTGACACTAGGATACAGATAAAAATGGACTTACCGAGGTGGATCTCAGTTATGATCTGCACAATCCCCGGATATAAAACCTCTGGAATTTTTCCTGTGGGTTCACCTTGGTTTACATTACTCCTGTGGAAATGTAGAGGACTCAAGAAATCGAATTATTGCTGGAACTCAATTAGAAACGCCTCTGGTATTTTTGACAGAGTTCGACAGTCCATGAGAAGCAGATTGGATTCCTGCGTCCGGCCTCGATATGATCACTTTTAACAGTTTTGTAAGCTTTTATTATGATAAATATTAAGGTATTTTTCGTCAAATTATTCACAAATATTATTGGAATATTGAAAAATAGTTTTTTCATGAATGGGCATGCAATAAAGTAATTTTAATTTTTAATTTCTAAAACGAAGCAAGATATGAAAAAAAAAATCAAGAGACAGAAAAGTAGTAGTTTTAGTCAGGGAAGTTTCGAAATAAAATTAAAATTGACTCCCCCCGCCCCCTAATGCCACTGTTTAATTTTAATTTAGTTGAGGCGAAATCAGCATCTTATTACTAGAAACAACGCTGCCAAATTTCAAACAAATACGTAAGAAGATATCTGAATTAATTTACGGAAAAATATTATTTTCAAAAAATCTTTAACACCCTGGCACTTAAAAGCAATATGTGGGAACTTTTTTCATAAAATGATCGGAGGAAACATCCTCTTAAATATTGCCGCGTCTTTTTTAAACACTTTCTATTAGCATATTAACGTTTTGTAAAAACCATTGAAAAACCGGATCGTATCCAGGATGTAAGTTTCGCACAACGCTGACTTCGTAGGGTTTATATTTATAGTTTCTTAAAATCTTTTATCTCTATTTTTCTACAAAAGTTTCAAGTGTTACATCAAAACTAGCCAAACAGTTGGTCAACCTCGTTATTTTCTGTGTACTTTCGAATACAAGCATATTTGGCAGCCTTTTTTCCCGGATATTTGTGGTAAAGAAACTGTGGAGATTCTTTAGTCACGGCACGAACGGGGAGGATAGAACCATCAGAACTCACAAACATCAAAATGCGTGAAAGTTGCAACATTAAACTGGTTCATTTGCAATAGCGAAAAGGAAATTATTCAATGTTAATAGTACAACAAAAAGAATTATTAAAAAAAAAAGATGATCCGATATTCGTCTGGAAAACAGCATTCAAACTTCATTCAAAAACAATCACGCATTTAATTCAATAAATCTAATTACCTAATCAGATATGACGTAAAATACTCAAAACTTGCACTCTAAAAACCGCATCACGCAATCGTTATCGCATATACCAGGAAGCATTCACCTCATTTTATTGACGTTAGACAAACACGACGATTCTACAGCAGTATACTTCACGCCTTCTTCTTTTTACGTTGACCTGTCTGTCTTCAGACGTTGGGGATCATCATGGCGAAGATTTTTTGAGCTGCTCTAAATAGGTCTTCTACAGGTTTTATACGACTAATCATATACGCGCCCTCCCCGTTGTCCTGGGTGGTAAAAGTAGGTAAGGCGGTGTTTAGGTATTTAGGTCCATTGGCAATAAGTCTTATTTACTGTTACGGTGTTCATCATGGCAAGAACGTTTCAAACTTGTTTTTAATTGAATCTTTTAAGGTCCGAGTCTTACCACGATAAAGCACCGCCGACCAAACATAGCATTTAGGCACTCTTTTTCGAAGTTCCTGTATATCTGCTATGTGCTCAGCCAATGTGTCAGTGTAGTCGGTATACCTCATGTTTTCTTATTTACACCCTCATTTCTATCTGATTCTTTGAAAATTTCCTCAGAATAACAGTTGAAATATGTTGGTGACAGAACGCAACCCTGTAGAGATGTGCTTGATTATAAACCTTTTCAGAGTCTAAGAATATGAGGCAAATAAATTCCTTTTTCGTGAACTCACATGTCTTGTGAATAAAAAGTCAAATCTTGTCACCCACACAACAATATGTATTGTTTTATATTGTATTATTTGAAGTAGTGGCTTATTAGGCTAATGAATCTAAAATCCTGGGATCTATTTTCCTGAGCAAGGTAAAAAGTGTACAGGTATAATATATCTGGCTGAAGAATTTCGTCAGGGGAATTATACAATAGTTTTAGAAGTTCGTATTCAATTCCGCCTGTTTTCTCACCCTTTCGACTTCTGATCTAAGAATTGAGACTTTATTACTATCTTCTATATGACTGTGTTTGTCAGGAAATTTTCGTATTCATCTTTCAATGATCTAACATATCTGGATTGTAGAGGTTCATCAACTGTTCAATCTCATCACCGGATTGATTCAACCAAAGTTCTTCAGCTTGTCATCTAATTTCCTTGAGTATTTAAAATTATTTTTGTTCTAGTACTAACGGCATTCATGCATCATGTTTAAGATTATTTTTTGTTTAACTCGCCGTTGTACTTTTGAGTAATTCTAGGGTGTGTTCAAGAAGCGATGTCTTGGTGATGAACTAGTTTTTGTGCGTAGTGTTATTTTCAGAAGCTATTCCACAAATATTGTGTAGTTGCTGATTTTCTTTCGTTGTCAGCTCTTTTCTTTTTTCTGCGTTTGATAGACACCAATATGCGGCTTTTCAATGGTTTAATTTGGTTTAGTTTATGACTTTAGTTTATGTTTGCACCGGGATAAATTTTGACATTTATAACATTCTTGCTGAATCGCTCCGCATGCCGTCCACCTCTGTCATTCCTCATGTACATATCAAACTTTCTTGTTTCATCTATTTATTGGCGGAGTTCTTCCACTTTATTCTCATTATAGTCTGCTGTAAAGGCGTACGCTTGAATGATATTAATATTGATAAGTTTAGCATGAAGCTGTCAGCTATCGCCTCCTGCGGTCTTAAGGAGATTTGCTCACAATGTAGCAAAAATTTACTTAACTCATACAAATATTCATGATCTACTTGAAATATATGAAAAGTATCAATCACTGTTTACTTACAACTTGAAGTGGTACGTGACAACATATTCGTACACCTAGCCCAAATAAAAATACGCAATGCTGATTGTTATCATGGAAAAACATGTTTATATTAAAGTTTTATTAAATTTTGCCATTTTTAAACTTCTTTGTGGTTAGTTTTACGGATGCATAAGAGGAAGTACTATTAGCAATTGCAGGAATCATTAAAAAAAACGATATGCGATTTTTCTGGGACCTTCTGGATCTATCCTTGAAAAATCTTCCAGAAGGTCCCAGAAAAATTGCATATCGCTTTTTTTTAATGATTCCTGCAATTGCTAATAGTACTTCCTCTTATGCGTCCGTTGTAAAACTAACCACAAAGAAGTTTAAAAGTGGCAAAATAATTTAATAAAACTTTAATATAAACATGTTTTTCTATGATAACCGTATATGATATTGGTATCTCTATATAGATAACGCAAGCTTTCATTTATAACGTATACAGCACCATATGTATATGTTTTATTTTAAATCGATACCATAACCTAGATAAAGTTTTAAAAAGGATAATGTCAATTTTTGAAAAACCAAAAAAAGCTGAAATTTTGAAATTATCAGAATATTAGTAAAAGGATACAGCGATGCCAAAAATGGCGTCAAAAAATAGGCCTACTACGTTGCATGCAGCAGAAGTCAACTTTCATTTTACTCATGGGCTCCATATTGACTCCTAAATTTTCAAAATCCTCTTTAAAAATGTTTTTCAACCGTGTGTAATGTTTCGTGAAAATAGGTCCGGAAAAATAATACAAATATGATTTCAGAATAGTACACCTTGATATTGCTATTAATTTTTAAAACACATTTAAACAAGAAGTGAACAACAAAGGAGTCAATAAAATTGAAAAGAGAAAAGAAGAAAATCGAAAATCGAAAAAACAAATCAGTATAATTTTCATACATACCTTTACTTCTTTAAAGCACAAAAAACGAAGAAAATACACAGAATGTTACAATAAAATTAGAGTAAGTGTTCAAATAATGCGCTGTTTGTTCCTCAAAAAATATGGTCCAAAATAAAAAACCAAACGTTTAATCCCTACCCTTCTTGATGCCTAATTGCACGAGCTAGCCGTGGATTTATATCTGCCCAATGTTCTTACGAATAAAG